CTTGTAGTTACGTTTCTTAGCTTGCACTTTGCAGTGAACTTGTAATAATGTTTTTGAAGTTTCTCTATGATCGGGATCCAGTAAAGCTGCTGGTGGACCAATCTATGGTTGATCATTATGTACAACTTGATTCGTAAGTCATCTAAGCACTGAAAGTTATATGCCTTTTTCAACCCTGTTGCTCTACTGTTTCTTTCTCTACCTTTCAGCAAGCTCCTCCCACCCCCATCTCACTTTGATTGTTTGACAACTATGCTGGAAAAACATAAGACTCAAAGCAATTTTTATGCTTTCTGGTTGTGAGTTTGACAACCATGTTGGAAAAACATAAGACTCAAAGCAATTTTTTATGCTTTCTGGTTGCCTGAAGGAACAGATCGCGTTTACTTCAGATTATTGGTCTCATATTGTTATTGCCTCAGGGATACAACACAACGAGTTGAAGAACTTGTTAAATTAGGGGGGTTTGCTGATACTGAATGCCTGCACAGAACCTTAGCTAAAGAATTCCAGTATATGGAATCCAGGTAATTCTTTGTATCAATTGATAGCCTTATTTTTATTTAGAACATTATATATATACCCTTTTGTCTCTTTTTGTAAGCACCATTTATGTTTAGTACAATTTTTAAATATTTGGGTGGGTATATTTATTGAGAAAAATAGTGGGACCATATATGGTTTATGAGAGGGTAAAGTGAGGGGAAGAGTGGAGGACCAAATGATCATTAATGGGATATGGCATACATTTAGGGACATACTAATATAGAAATTGGAGTATGCAAAAAGGGTTCGAGGGAGTATATTTCATTGTCTGAAAAATAAGTTTCTCTTTAGTTTTTCATGCCTTGCCCTTCTGTGTTACTGAAAAAAAATATTCTTCCTGTTTTCTTTTTATTTTTACTTATTATTACTTAAAATATTTCTTGTCTATGTATCCAGTGTGTTGCTGGAAAATATTAAATTGAAAGATGTTACCAGTTGTGTAGTTGTCACCCATAGATGTAGTTGCTGTGTTTAGAGGAGGATGTCCTCAGATCTATTTGTTAACATTGCAAGAATTTCTTATTTTCGGATTTACTCCTCCTTCCTTTATTTTAATGTAATGTCACACTTTCCAGTTTCAAGGAGGCGTTCAATATGCCCTATATAACCGTTTCAAAGGAGATAATATGTGAGCAGATGCTGCCTCTCTACTCTTTCCAATCTTCACCGCCATCCACCCATAGCAGTGTTCCGACATCAATATCATTTTATTGGGTAAATGATCTGTTGTACATAATTCGTTACCAATGTTAGTTTTTTTATATTCCAGACAAGCTTGCAACTAATGTAATTTAGTAGCTTCTGGACTGCAAGTGAGTTCATCTCCAGATGTTCTCATAGATGCCTGCTGAGTTTTTTTTTTTTATCCTGAATCGTTTGTGTGCTTTACCTGGTCAGCAATGGTTCATGTCTTGATTAAATGCGATATGTCTCTAGAATTTGCACCCAAAGCTGAATAACATAGCATCAGTTTGTAATTATGTCGTTATAGGAAAGAATAACACAGCGAATGACTCTATAATAGGCCCCTGAAAGGGGAAAAAAAAAAAATTAAAAGGCTGAATAACGTAGCTTCCGCTTGTAATCATGTTTCTGTGAAGCAAAGAATAGCTCATCAAATTGTCTCACATAGATCTGTTGTGAATAGCTAACTGGTTAGGAGGCTTCTGTAACATATACTTCTAAGAAATGCTTCTCTCCTTTTGCACAAGTTACGATTGGAAATTGTGCAGCTTACCCTGAATTGACAGATCTATTCATCTCTAATTCTTTTTTTTTTTTTTTTTTAAGAAAAAAGATTAAAATATACTGTATATGGTTTGACTTGTTTAATTAAAAGAAGATTAGAAATGTTATCCTTTATTTTTCTCGTTTGTCTCCCTCTTAAACCTCCCTGTGAATTGGGATGCATGGAATCAAACCTATTTAGGACCCATATTCTCACTGGGCAACTCTTATGCCCCTATTAAATTGTTGCTAACTTGCTATGGAGTGCAACTATTTGCTGTGACTTGTAGAAGAGTTTTTAGAAAAAAACAAAAATAATTTCTATCTGAGTCCAGTTCGTTATTAAAGAACAATGAACAGTGGAATGTAATAGGTGCTGTATACCCAAGATTTATTTACGGTTTTTCCACTTGATAAACGAATTTTGTTTATCAAGGTGATAAACTGTGGTTTCCTCCCAAGATCACATATCAGGTCACAGTGCAACTAGACATTCATTTGCTTTTAGTGTTCTCCTGAACATGGGTACCTTGCAAACTTCAAGAGTGACATACAATATCCTCTTAAGAGCATCATATGATAGCATCTATGCGGTGTTTTTGTTCCCTTTTCTTATGTGTTGCTTCATTTTAGGATGCTGCCCCTGAATTTTCAGCATGTGAGACCAGTCAAGAAAACCTTGTAGACTACATCACTTTCCAAATACCTGAGTGGTCCTCATCAGATGTTTCAAACTGTATATGCATATTACGGGGAGTTATGAATGTAGCAGATAATATTAGAAACAAATATACTACAGTTGAAGCCTTGCTGTTGTCTGTGTCAAAGGAGTTCAGTTGCATGGATTTATCCCTGTACAAGGTATTTCCATAATACACTTAAAGCCTTTTTTAGCCCTTGTTTTCTACTTTGGCCAACTTGCTTCATGGAAAGATTTTTTTTCCTGAATATTGAGACGGATATGTTTCTCTTTAATACAGGAACGTCAGTTAGTTTTGCTGTTGAATGAAACAACAGCCGCTTCTGACAGCAGTGGAAATGCTCAGCTCATGATGGTGCCAACAAACGATCTTCCATTTGTATCTATTTCAAGATCAACCAATCTAAATTTTTGGAATTTGGATAAGCTGCAGGTAGGTCGTTCACATGCTGAGTAGTGACTGCTATAGTGTTTATTTATTATTTTAATGAAAAAAAAATTATTTCTCCCTGTGAGTTTGTGATCAGAGTGAGTTAAGAGAAAATGATGTAGACAGGATTCAATCCTAGGTCTTGGGTACTACCACCCCCCAAGAATTTAACCGAGTTAGTTGGCATACACATAGTGACTGCTATAGTGCTATACTTCTATTGTTATCAGATATCTTCTTCTTGATTACTCCATTTGTTCATTGCCCCTTAAACCTGTAAAACTGTGTATCTGAACAAAGAAGATGGCCTGAACAAATGCCTTTTTTTTTTTTTTTTTGAAGAAGTCTGAACAAATGCCTAGATCTTCTAAACGTTAAGAATTTCAATGAAGGATCCTGGGTCCAGTTCTGTGGCATCTCATGATCCTTTTGTCTTTTGGATAATGAGCCAATGTAATCATGTTCTCCAATAAAGAAGCAATTGGATTAAAAGTGAAGTAGAACATTCGAAAATCAGAGGAATAAACCAATGGTAAATAAAAAAAATAAAATTAGAAAGCATATTGCTGGATAACTAGCAATAAGTGTTGTATAGGTGAAAATTGTAGTTAGTGACGTATGGGTGATCCCTAGCAACTAGCAATTAGTGACCTATGGGTGATCCCTGCTAGCATTTGATATGAAAATATCTTAATAGGAAGACTAGTGAAATATTTGTCTTCACTTGTTAGTGAAATAGACATTACTACTTTTTGCTACCAAGAAGTACCCTGATTATTGTTTTTTCTGAATTCTTAAAACAGCCAGATCTTGTCTATTAAATTTTATGTCAGGAATTCAAGCTGAATGCTTAATTCTTTCCGTCATTAAACAGTTGTCTATTTTGAGACCAATGCTGAACTTCTAGTTTATAAATGTTGCATTATTTGTTGGAACGCTTTTGAAACTTTCTTGTACTGAATTTTTTCTTACACAAATCCCTCACAAATTGGGAGTTGTGGGTTGTGACTATGATGTTCTTTTTGATCAGTTGAAGTTCTTGATTTTCTAATTAATGCACTTGTATAACTTTAGGATCTTATATTGCCCTTGCAAATGGAGAGTGCAAAAGTTCGAAGTATACCTCACAATGTGGTTCCACCGCTTGCAATTAGTTGTAAGTTATCTTTCTACCTCAAGATTTGCGCATATGGCACTTGGATACAGTGATTTTAACAATTTCTTTTAACAATGATGATGCTGATGAAAATACTTACAAGCATTTTAATTCAAAATTCGCAACAGCATCCAGAGGTGTGGGCTGTGTTTTTGCTGCTAGAAAGCGAGCCTTAGTTTACATTCTCGATGAAGATGAAGAAGAAGAATCAGCCTCAGATATGGATTGAAATACTTGATCATCCAGTGCTGTGTTTAGACTCTGAGCAAAAGGAGAGCAGCGGCACTCAAGCTGTAAGCCTCGTAGTTGAAGTTTGTTTTTACAACGTTCAATTATAGAGCATGGAAACTCTGATTAGGTGGTCTGGTGGTCTAGACCTGCTTTCAGATGTAGGCTGTAGGCCTCGTAGTTGAAGTTTGATTCCACATCGTTCAACTATAGAGCATGAAAACTCTGATTAGGTGGTCTGGTGGTCTAGACCTGCATTCAGATGTAGGGTTTCCCAATCTCTTGCTTTTTCTTTGTCATCCTTAACTATTGTTTCCTGTTTATATCTATGGCCAAACTACCCAAGAGAATTCTCTGTAAACGTTGAAGGTGAAATACTACATTTTTCAGTTACTGAATTATATAAAGAATTATTTAATTTATCAAAGATCTAAGAAATTTACATAACAGATGAAAATATGCTAATTGACTTGAATTCTTATGACAGAAAACGGGTAGTATATTATGGAATGGAGGTTGTTTAATTGTATCAATGCAAAGGTAATTACTAAAATTTACACAGCTTATGTAGATATAATTATATTAATCCGATTTCTTATTCAGTGTAAGTTGCTAAATTGCTTTTTAGATTTCACCAGTGCACTTGATTACTTGAAAGACAACCACCGAAGCCTAAAAAACAGCAAGTATTCAAGCAAGTGATCAAACAGAAATTCAAAAACAAATGAAAAATTCATTCAAGCATGAAATTCAATCTGGTTGGTAATCAAGCCAACTACCACTGACAGTTATTGCTGCGTTAAATAATAAATACAACGGATTTTGTTATGTTAGACCTCATCTAACAAGTCATGATACAAACTACAAGTACACAAGGAAAAAATTGAAGATATAACAGGCCTCTTATTTTAAAGACCTTAATGGAGGTATGTCCATGGAGATATCCAGGGAAAGACCTCTAACCCTCCCATTATCGCAGAAAGTATCTTTAACGTAAGTCTCTTCTGCAATAGCATCTCAACTGAGCTTGATGCCCTTTTATCATCAAGGATCCATAACCAAGCTAGTCAAGAAAGCAGGCATCATCCCACTATAAAATTCAAACAAAGTTTTGAAATTTCGCCTGTGATGAGCATTTGTAGGACATAAGCAAAGTGGGATGAACCGGGCAGCTATTTGTAAATAAAGCACGGCAATCTTAGTAGGGGTTCACATCTATGTATCATCCAACTCAACAAGTTGAGCTCGTCTCTCAGCAGCCTTCTTCCTGACAAATATTCCCCATCGAAGGGCCGCTTTAAGCTTGAGCCATCCCACAACTGCTTTCCCAGAAGAGCGGCCTCTATCCTCATCAAAATTGAAGTTGATTGCTGGTGATGGTGCATAACCTGCCGGATACGGGTATGCTTCTTCAGCAACAACAGGAGTTTGAGCTTGATGACTACCACCCATCCCAAAGAGGCGAAGCAAATGTTGCATGTCTTCGTGTTCAAGCATCTGATTGCTTCTAATGCGGATTTCATCCTCTGATAGTAAGTTCTCACTTCCTCGATAATCAGCAAAGTTGGTGGTTCCAACAGGCTGCATTCCAGAGAAGGATGGCTGTGCTGATCCAAGAGACAATGCATTATTGTTTCTAAGTTGGCTTAGACCCGAAGAGCCCATAAATTGATTTGGAGGCAAAAATGAGGTGGCATCAAATTGTGCAGATCCATTAAGGTTCATTGTTTGTGACTTTGCAGAATATCTTGTACCCATTGTATCATGTAAACCTGAAACATAAATACAAGCTTGTATAAGTAATGCTATATTTGTTGTTCATATAGTAGGTTTTTTAAATCATTTGCTTTGTGAAAAATCCTTTGTAGCAGCAAAAAAGGTGGGAAACAAAGTTTCTTTTTACAAATGCCAGAAATTATACCTCCCATCTTGAGACCAGGATCCACAGAAGGCTGCTCCACAGGAGGAGCAACAGGTAAACTGGGTAGCGAGAGTTGATGGTTGTAGAAATTGGGGTTTGGTTGCGAAATTGATGCTTCAGTCCTCGAAGAATCTTCAATAGTGCTCTGTTTTAAGCTCAAGAGAGACTTACCATCATATTCCACAACATGCATCCAGTTCTCATATGCTTTCTTTATTAAGGAATCCGCATAGACCTGCCAACATAATAGATATTCAGCCAACAAATTAAACAAGCATCCAACCATGCTCAACATGGTTAAGGTTTGCAAAAATCATTCTTCTTTAAACCTTGTAAGGGCACTCTTAAGCTACATATGTTGCCTTTATGGTCCAATTCCTTCTGGGTGATCAACTGATTGCCCGTTTGAATGCAAACTTAGGCATACATTTTCATAATTGAAAGCAACATTATCACCAATGATAACTAACAGTGAGTGTAGGGATTCTTTTTTTATTTGAAAAAAGATAGGAGATTTGTTTTGAGGAATATTCACCTTCTGAGTGTCCGAAAGCGAATCAGTTGAGTAGTACTGACCACCAGCAAATAAGCCAATAAACTCATAAATGCTGTTGAAGATTACACCAACTCCTTGTGGACCATCGGGATAGTAGATAAAAACCTTTCCACTAAGTACGCACGTCTTTGCGTGCTCCACAAGTGCATCCCACATCTTGTTTGACATGCCACTCCCTAGTATCTACAAAGACTTCAGATATGTTAGTCAAATTCCTAAGATTGGATAGTCATCAAATAGCAAAATATATAGCATTCTTACATTTCGCAATCTCTGTGGATCTCTGACAACGAACCGCAAGAAATCTTCAACACTAACTATACCAGCTTTATTCAATCTCTTGTGAAAAGCCCCATCTTTCCCAATCTTCTCTAATCTCCAGACTTCATCATTTAGTGCAGGAGGATAGTGTTTTTTATACACTACAAAAGACAAATACCACAAAAGCGAATATATTAGATGCAAGGTCAGAGTAGAGGACACGGGCGGAAACCTAAGCTGGGAAAAATGCAAACACGGGAGCACATGTAAAGAAAACATAGATTAGAGAAATTCGACTCACATTCCCCTCTATGATCCTTGACAGTAAAAGCTTCTGTCTTTGCTTCACGTATACGAACAACTTCATCATTACCTGCGGCAACCTTCAGACCTAATCTGAACTGTCTGCTTCTTATCCAGCTTGAATTATCAGTGAATGTCAGTTCTCCAAGGGTTCCTACACCTTCTTTCAGTGTCACTTGCACATCTCCAGTTAAAAGGGGCCTCTTTCCTTCACGCTCTTTCACCAAATGACTTTCAAAATCTTCTTGAGTCCAATCAGCATCATCTTCATCATTGAAATCACCTTCAAGCACAACAATATCCAGTTTCGCAGATGATTCTGGACCCGTTGTGACAAGTTGCCCACTATTTGCATCAATTAACACAATGTGGATTGCAGCTCCTTGCTCGCCTTCTACTTTTCCTCCAGTAAAAAGGGGTAGAGAAAGCCTACTTCTAAAATGAAGCTGCAAGTTTCTTCCATCAGGTGCTTCTATCCGCTTGGGAGAAGTCCTACAATAAATTGAACAATGTTCAGCCTTACAGTTCTTTCAAATAATTATAAGACTACAGCTTTGGTTAGAATCTAAGCTTTCTAAATTTATACTTCAATACTAAAGAATTTGACCTTTGAAACCTTAGTTATATTTAGGTATGCAAGAACTTTAGCTAAAAAAAGTAAATTCCTCAAATATCAATTAAGTGAATTTTACCTTCCGTTTCCAACAAGCCTTGCAGGCCCCAACTTTGCCAAAGCACGTTCAACTTCTTCACTAACCTGTTCATTGTTCATTAAGACCGACTGTCAGAGAAGTACAAAGCAGCATGTGTCATGAAGTAGCTACTAACAGTACACAAGTAGGTAGTTTCTACTTTCTAGTGACTAGTGAGGTCAAGAACTTGAGAAGTATGCACTACCCCCTTTCCCGAAAAATTAGAATGTCAATTTAAAAATGGTTTGCTTCCATAAGAAAGTAATAAAAATCACTTTATCATCCAAAATTATCCCTTATTAGAAAGAAAAGAATCATACATAAGTTTGATTATCTTACAACTCTTCGAAGAATGGGTTCCAAGGATGAGCAGAGCCTCTGCAAACTATCCACCTTCAGGGCTTCCACAATCACACTGCAGTAGAGTAAAAAAATAATTAGTACTGAAAAATTTAAGCTCGAGAAACACACATCTTGAAGCAAAAATTCAAAGCTAATGCCAAATGGCCCAAATCTTTAGTTTACAAAAACTGTAAACTACTGCATATGTTTTGTTATTAATCCCATTAAGCAGTAAACTAATATGGTACAAAATTTCTCTACTCAAAAGTAAAGCATAACTCTAGTAGAATTAGAGTACTTAAGCTTTGTCGACGACTTTGCCTACTTTCTGTTTTCGTTTTGGAAATTTCAAGTCATATGGTATACAAAGTAAGTTGTACTCTGGTATACTGAATTTAAAATTAGTCATACTTATGCTAGACATGTTTAGAATGAAATGTAACAACAAAAGACTAGAAAACACTTTTTCTAGCTTCCATAAACTAACTTAAAAAAAACAATGAACAAGCCTCTTGTTGAGTTTATAATTTCATTTCCTATACTGATGTATGAAACCTCCAAATCTTCATCCTCCCCAAAATTATGCTCTTCCAATAATATAAAATTAATTTTAATATTATATTAAACCAAAATAATATAGCAAAAACTAAATTCTGTTATAAACTACTGAACTAAGATAAGATAGGAACATCACAACTTCATTATAGTGACCACTTTACTACCCACTACAACTCTCACCTTCAAAATCCCAAAAATATAAAAAAAATAAAAAATAAAAAAATAAAATAAAATAAAATACAAGAAATAGCTCAATACTATTAAAGATTCAATTTTTAGTATGATAAAATAAAATTGACAAAATCAACCAAACACCCAGAAAAATTCATCCAAAACCCAAAAAAAATCAAACATAAAAAATCCATCAAATCAAACAAATCATCAAATTACACAATATAAGAGTAAAGATTAAGAGAAAAAGAAAGAACCTAGCTAAAGCAGGTCTTTTGCGATCAGGTTGACCATCTTCATCAGCAGCAGTTGAGTTTGAATCCAAAGCTCTCTTCTCTCTCCCACCACCACCACCTCCACCTCCACCTCCACCACCCATACTATTCGATCTTTCCATATATCTTGTCTGCATTCTTTTTTTTTTTTTTTTTTTTTTTTGTCCCTTCCCTTTATAAATCAACAATGGATCTGAACAAACAATAAAACAAAAATAAAAATCCCAGATGCAATAATTATAAATCTCTTATCTCATCCAAGTAAAAAAAACCTGAATCGTCGATTCGAATTATTATTATTATTATTATTATTATTAAAACTCAATGGCAATACATGCTATCGGCCACTCGCCGACTTGACAATAGACACTATAACTACAACTACAACTACAACTCTATGGTTAAAAAAGAGAGCGGGAAAAATAGTTAGAACCTTTATTATTGGATTTATTGGTGTTTTGGAAATAAGGTTAGAACATTCAACGAAAGGTCTGGGAATTTTCCTTCAAAACTGACGGCTTTTGCATCAATCAATAAAAAGATGAAAAGAAAACGCGGTTTTTAAAATGATTTTGTTTTTGTGAGATTTTGTGTATTGAGATGTTATGAATGAGCTTATAGCTTATTGGAGGGGGGTCCTTGACTCTTTGAGAAGTCACTTTCATTATTATATGCTATGGATTGCCTAAACTAACCTTATAGAAAATACCAAGATTGGGGTGTATGATGAATGTTTGTATACCATGTGAAACATTCAAGGATAGCTATAGGACAAATGGGATTCTATTTTGGTGTCGAATACTATTCATTTAATATACGGAGTATAAAGTATAATTCGTTAACAAATTAAAAAGTAATATGTACCTGTTTATTTTGAGTAACAAAAAAAGTATAATGTATACATGAAAATTGAAGGATGGGGATTAGGGTTAAGGTTAGGATTAGGACTAGGATTCTTCAATTGTAATTATTATCACAATTATACTTGAGACACTAATGAACAAACAATACAAAAATTGTAAACAATAATTAATATTGTACTCTCCTCACTTTATTTTCACTTATTCCACGTCTAATAAGTTAAGAATATTCTGATAAGATCCAATAATAAATTTGATGAGATTCAATACCAATATAACATAATATAAAGAATGGTAAATTTAGAGGAATAAGATAACAACTACTCCGTAATAAATTTAGATAAGGTAAAATAAATAACATAAGTTAATTTCAAGTGAAGCTTTCCCCTCATTTTTCCAATTTTGTTCAATAGATATTCACTAAAATTTCACTACCTATAAGCTTAAACATGTTTAATGTAGTGCCTTCGTCACCTAAAATTTCATTAATCATGTCTCTTTCTTTAGGATGTGTTCGTGACACTATGCTGTGTTGTGTCATGACGTGCCTGTGTGCCTAACTTAAATCTCACTTATCATAATGCACTTGATACAGTTGATTCATACCTTTTTAAGTTGTATTTTTTTTTTAAATGGTCTAAACCTACTTTGATTTATAGTGCGGCACACACAAAAAGTTGTCTCATGCTTATTCATGCATGTGTCGTCTCGTAATTTTTGCTGTCGTACGACTTGAAAAATCATCATCTGAATCTTATCGTTCAAGGTCTGAATATGACATGATACTAAAATCACATAATATGAAGATGATGGAGTACTCTAATCCATCTATCATGATTTTTTGTATTTTATAATTACATACAATAAGCAACGCTATAATGCTCGCTTGTCATTTAGGTTGAAAGGTAGAATTTGATCGATTGGGTCATGATTTAAGCTAGAAGGTTGTAAGCCATTTTTTATATTATTTTATCTGAAATTGAGCTAATACCGATCACAATGAATCAACTCTAATTTGATCTTGTATGTTGTGTCATATAACTCAATAGCAAATCAATACACAATAATTCACTTAGTGATCAATTCATTTATCCACCGATTAATATATGTTTATTTTAACTTTCAATGATTTATTTAGTACAAGTAAAATTAAGTGGATTGTCAATTCAAATGTATCTAGTCCCAAATTATCAACTTATAAAAATCGAGTCAATGAGCAATTGTGTAAAATTTTGAAAATTACATCAGAGACGTTGATTGCTTTTAATTTATTTTTAGTAATTTTTTTTAATTTAAGCTATAGAATTAAGAAAAATAGAAAAAATAATAGAGTCCAAAAAAGGATAAATTGCTTTTTTGCTGACTCAGAGGCGCTGGTTTTATTGTGGGGCGGCGCTTAAATGAAGATCTTCACACAAATTAACAGGTACAGGTTTACAGGTAGTTGTATTAATTACATCAGAACCGTTGATTTCATCTGACATATTATACCCTGATTTCAAGGATTATGCACGTGTATTTTATTACTGTGAGTACTTAATTAAAGAATTTTGGAATTATAATCAAGTGTGATAGTGACTAGGGGATGTTAAGGTGGGGTTACTTTTTACTGTCGACTGATTTTATTGTTTTTTTTTTTTTTGTCGGTTTGATTTAACTATTTTCTGTCTTTTATTATTCAAATGAATTTAAATATAAAAAAAGTACACGAGCTGTTGATCAATTGTGTGTTTTTATAATGTTGAAAATGGTTAATCTTGTGGAATAATTCTTTACATTATTATTAGATGATTTTTTTATACTTATAATTATGAAGTTATTGGCCCCATGAAGACCTCCTATTGTGGTGGCAAATAATTGAATATTGAATTGTTTGTAACACATTGGAGCACATGATCACCCACAGCTACATAATTATAGGGTTCGGTTCAAAGTTGATTAATTAATTATTTCATCAGTGTTAAATTAGTTTACAATGTTCTTAATTTTCAAAGGCGCATTGTTGTGCTAAATCTATGTATTTCTCAAAATTAAGTGTCATAATTGTAGTGCAGATAACCATTTAGAAAGGAATGCGTTGGAATTATATTTGTTAATTTATAGGGCTTGTTATCATTTTTAGATGCACACTTGATAACTATCACTGACTTTGAAAAGGGATGGAGGTGTAAATAGGTAATCTGTAACACACATATGGCTTGTTAAATATAGCATGATACCATATTACCAAATGAGTTTATTCCAACTGCCTTGATAACTCTTTTCTTGGAAGAAAATAAAGCTAGCTATAAGTTGAGTTGAGCCGACGCGAACTCTAACATGGCATAATTCAACCAAACTCAACTCAACCTTCTCAAATTAATTTACCAGTTTTAGCTTGGCTTGATTGAAATATATTGAATTTGAATTCGTACTCACCTTGATGCACAATGTTCATGCAATAAACAAAAGAAAGAACTACTGTTGTTCAATTGTTACTTAGCTTATGGTAGTGTTCGATTTGGACAAGTTGTGGTAAGAATTACTCAATTATTCTAGCGTTGGTTTATATGGAAGTTTGGGACTATGGATGGACAAAATGTATTGTATACATTATATAACAATCTCACAAAATCAAAATTTGAAATATAAGGTTTAAAATTGTTGTTGCGAGTTAAACTGTGGCAAGTTCAATCCAATTACGTATTTTATATTTCCTCTGCTATTTTTTAAAGAATTTCCACAAATATTACACCATACCTATTTTATTGAAAATTAATAATTTATTCATTGAGACGATTCCAATAAATACCCACAAGACTATATTTCTTTTTATGTATAAATCACAAACATTAGTCAAAGTAGGTCAAATAAATAGTGTAAAAAGTATAAATAGATCAAAGCAAGTAATAAAATACGGAGAGAGTAACAAGCAAGTCAAGTTGACCCGAATCAAATCTAAATCGTTCATAAGCAACTCCATTTGTACCCACTAGCCACCCCAAAAGCAAGGTGAGAATGTAACTTAAGATTAGAAATTGATTGGTAGGAAAAATGCTTAAATCAAAGCCCCAAATCTAAACAAATCTAAAATTAGCATAGCCAATCACCAAAAATGCACCATATCAAACTTACCTAATTATAATAATATAATCTTAATATGTGATAAATAGAAAGGGTAAGTTGAGTTAGTTAAAGCATTAGTCAAGTCAAGAGAAGTCAATCCTTAATTGCTTCAAAGTTACAAACTAACAAATGCTCACTACAATTCATTGTGATTTGCAGCCACCCCATTCAATAAATAAAAATAAAACTAATTAATAATGAAAATTAAATGCCAAAAACATAAGAAAAAACAGTTGGTGTAAAGATGCCGAAGCATTAATTGAAGGAAATGGGATTGACAGATGCAGATTCAAAGCATAGGGTCTCTCATGCATTTGTTTGGCATGTGGATTTAGCTTGGCTTTAGGATACAATTGCGTTCTTATCACCCCTTTCTTTTGGTAAACCATGTTACCATTATATGTACACAATCTTCGGGAGCGATAAAAAAATTTGGGTGTTGTTAAACGTCGTTTGCAAATTACAAGGTGACGTTCGCATTTTTGACTTGAATTTCCTAATTTGCCCCTCGTATATAAATACTCGTGAAACTAACTTCCGACGCTCACAAGTCATTTCACAACCTACACAATCTCTCTCTAAAATTTTCTCACTCTAAAAAAAAAAGTCAGAAATTAAAATAAAAATCAGAAAAAAAAAATTTCAAAAAAAACCCCAAACTTTGAAAATCAAACAAAGAACAATCCAAGGTTGAATCCAGCTATGGCGGACCGGCGACGCATAAGGCTGACATACGGTGGTCGTGGGGGCGGCGTAAGTGGCATCGAGCAGGTGGGTTGTGTTTTAATTGTTTCTGATGTTATGCGGTGCCACCTTAGATTTCGTCATGTCACGCACAACCTTCTTCGCATCCGGGCTCAACCCACTAATTTTCCGATGCCCCTCCTGATACACGTACAATCATTGGATGGTTATGGGTCCCAGTTGCATCATTTTTAGGCCCGGATCTTCCAACTGTCGGTGATGAACTCGTAATATATCTTGATGTAGAAAGGACAACCATTGGCTTTGGTTTTAGTGTCCTTTTGAATTGCGTTCTCAAGATCTCTCGGCTTGCTCCTACGTCCCCGATCACATCTCAAATATCGATACGTCCTACCATTTCTGGTTTTGTTGTAAGACAATTTGACCAAAATAAATCCGAGATTTATGGCCACAACCACCGCCCATTGAACTGCATCGTCAAACGTTCGAAAAAAACGTAGCTGTGACAAAATTCGCACTGTAATTCACACCGTCACCGCCTTCTTCAAACTCCGAATCCCTTAAAAATACAACAAAACACAAAAAACACGCCAATATTTAGTATTTTACTTATAATAATAACAACACCAATATTTTTAAAACAATAATATTAATATTAATAATAATAATAATAAATAATAATAATAATAATAATAATAATAATAATAATCATAATCATAATCATAATCATAATCATAATAGTAATAATCATATAAAAAAAATCATCATAATAATAAAAATAATAATATTAATCAAAAAAAAAATTGAAAAAGGGACTTCCGCCTTAAAATTCCGGAAGGTCCATGGAGGATCCGCCTAAGAATTCCGGATCCTCCATGGAAGATCCGGATATTTCAGGCAGATGTATAGAGGATCCGGAATTCTTAGGCGGATCCTCCATGGACCTTCCGGAATTTTTGGGCGGAAGTCACCTTTTCAAAAA